GCTAAGCTGATGATAATTTGGAATACAAGTTCACAGCCATACATGATCTCAAATGGGGGAGTCTGTTTCTGTTTCCCTACCACTGTCCTGCTTTCCTGAAGCTGTTACATCAGCAGCAGTGATAGTATCTGTCCTGCCAAGGTAAATTTCACTTAATAAATTTGCATAAAACCTGGAGGGAAGTCAGAAAAACAGGTAATGACCAGCATAAGCCTGTGAATATAGAAAGAGTTTCTGATGAATTTCACCACTTTCTGATATTCAAAATGTGTTTTTTACCAAGAATCTGCAGTAAAGAATATGTCTTCCAACTGTTCAGTAATCCTATCAGGCTAGATCTTAAACTGCAGGTCAGTCCACAGAAGTTAATGGATAATAACATTTCATGCCACTTCATTAAAAACTTTTTCTGAACAGCCATCTGCATTTTTTCCCCTTTATACAGCTAGAGGAATGATTTGGAAAACTGGAAACCTTGTTCAAAAACAACATGTTTTATTTAGCTATGGAAACATTTGGAGGATAAGATGAGAAAGATGATATTTGTCAACACACATCCATGATCCTAAATTAATAGGTAAAACTCTAAGCCAAGATATAATTTTGAAAGTTCAGTAATTTAATTTCCTTACTAAGCTTGCCTGAGATGATGGTCATGGGACATTGCCATTATATCTCATTCGTTCAGGCAGGGAAAGTTGTGGCAAGTGCAAGAAGGGAGCAAAAAGCAGGAGATAGAAAACTGCTGATTTCAGGATGCTCTGTAGCTCCCTCTGCAGACATACTGTATCAGTTGTCCACTTTTGGGTGTGTGTGTGAGAGATAGAGAGACACAAGAGAGGTTTAGTAAACCAAAACTTTGATATAGCTTTAAGGTAGAAACCAAATGCTGGAAGTCATAGTTAATACAGGTAATGGTAGGGAACATTTTCTTTTCCTTCTGCTGCAGCTTTAAAGAGGATACTGAGGGTACTGAGAACTGTGGCTTGAAGTTTTCACAGGAAAGTTTTGATCAGTATGTAATTTACAATAGACTTTTTAAACTATTTTTTCACTATATTCATGGACTCAGTGTGGTGGACTAATTAAATGCTGGACTAGAAGGGGGAGACACAGCTGGGTGACGTTGAGCCAACCACTCTTTCTTGGCCCTATACTGAGAAATCCAAAGACTTATATTTATTAACCCTCTCTTTCTCTTTCTCTTTCTCTTTCTCTTTCTCTTTCTCTTTCTCTTTCTCTTTCTCTTTCTCTTTCTCTTTCTCTTTCTCTTTCTCTTTCTCTTTCTCTTTCTCTTTCTCTTTCTCTTTCTCTTTCTCTTTCTCTTTCTGTCTCTCCCTCTCTCTCCCTGGATTCTTTATTTAAAAAAGAAATTGTAAAGATTCTACTAAAAAAAACAAAAGTAGGGAAAATGACAGACATTTTATGAAACTAGCATGGTTGCACTGATAGGTTTCAAATGTGGAATTAAAAATGGTAGATAAACATATTGGAGTGGCTTAAGGCATCAGGCTAGAAATTGGGAGGCTGTGAGTTCTAGTCCTGCCTTAGGCCCAAAGCCAGCTAGGTGACCTTGGGCCAGTCACTTTCTCTCAGCCCTGGGAAGGAGGCAATGGCAAACCACTTCTGAAAAACCGTGCCAAGAAAACGTCAGGGAACTTGCCCAGGCAGTTGAGT